ATTCAAATGACTCACCAAGTGCCCAAAATTCAGATGAATTGTAATTCATTTGAGATTGAATGCACAAGTCTAGAAGACATAGAATTCAGTTTATTGTAAATGAAAGATTAAGTCATGCCTGCTGCTACCAGAACGAAGAGTAGATGTCTCAAAGGTTATTACGGAAATAAAACAATTTTTTCTCTCATTTCTCTCAGATTTTCTCTGTATTTTTTTTTTATTATTTTTTTTATTTTTATTTTTTCTCTCTGCAAGCCTTGGATTTTTTTTAGATAAATATGAATAGAATGTATTTTTTTGTTTCAAATATTGACTTATTCTTTAGAAATCCAGCTGATTTCAATATCTCCAACTGAGAGAAAATTCAGTCATGTATATAAAGATAATTATTCTCAGCAGATACCTGAATGAGAGAGAATACGAGCACAGAAGCTGGTGATGCCTTCAACATTTTACAGTCAGTATTCAGCTCAGCAGCTTAATTTGTCTCCAATGAAAGAAGTTATTCAATCTTTTTTTTTTTTGTAAAAACCTTAGAAAAAAGTTAACTCTTAGTTAAGTTGTATTGTAGTTCATAGAAGGTTAAATCTAACATTAAAGAGTTGCACATTTTCTCCTTTTGATTGCATTTATACCTTTAAAAAAAAAAAAGAGCTTGGCTGCTACTGGCTGACATTAATTAGAAGCCACGATAAAAAAAAAACCAAAAAAAAAACCTCTTCTGGAATAGATATAATAGAGTGCTGACTTGTTTCAGAAGCTTCATTTTTTACTGCTTCATCAAAATGAATTATTTTGAAGTGCTGGATCCAGCCTAGATGTCTCTTTATTCCTGTTAATGAAACATTGAAGCATTTCTCTTTTAATTGTCTAATCAGTTGGCGGAGAGAGGAAAATAACTATCTATTTTTGGAGGACTTGCCCGAAGCATGAGATCTATACATTTTTATGACTAGCGTCAACTTAACACGACCTTGAGAAGGTCAAGCTATGTAATTTATGTAGCTAGAGACAATGGATTTTTGAAAATATTTGTAAAAGTCTCTCTTTATTTTTCATTGTGTAACCAAAGCCATGGCTGTTATTTTTATTTATTTATTTATTTTTTTACTTATTAAAGTGTTGTAATTAGTTAGTCTAGATGAATTGTATTAAGCCAATACTGATAGGCGCAGAAAAAATAATATGCATTTAGCTTGGCTATTTAGATGGTCTTAATTAGAAAGTGCATTACACAGACAATACATGACAAGAAATGCAATCAGGGAAATGGCAATTATAGTAACTAGATAAAATAACATCTTGAAGTGGCTGAGATTGTGTCTAGAAAGGATCACAGCGTTTGGAAGAGATTGATCATGGATATTGTAACCTAAACCTGAACAGAAAGCCTTTTACACTGCGTAGATCTTATTTGGTAAACTGTCTCGACACAGAGTTTAGTATGGGAATGTTGAGTAGGGATGGGCAAAAAAAACCAACAATTATTCGGTGGATAATATGGTGCATATTGATTTTTACTAATGTCTCTACTCTGGAAGCAGGTGTTGCTGCAAATTAAGTATAATTTTATACAACACCAAATATCAGTTGGGTGGGGGTTTGAGAGGATTTTTTGCTGAAGGAAGACTGAGGAATCCAAGCAATTAAGGAATGTTGAGTTGGCATTCATCGGTAATAGTTTCTCTAATCCCAATGTAACTTATTGATACAGGAATGCAATCAGAAATAGAGGATACATTTCTTTGACCAGTGATGCTTAGATTTAATTATTGCCTATAAATCAAGTGCAAGGTCCGTGCCAAATGTTAGGGAAGCAGGCCAATCTGACAACAATTGGGCTACTGGAACAAACCATTCCAGGACACAAAGTGAGAACCTAGACTTTAATGGCTGCTGCCACAACAGCAGACCCAATGAGAAGGACTACATTAAATTTGTGTGGGAACAGTGGATGAATAAGAGAACGTAATCTACATTAACAGCAAAACAGCTAGTTACACAATGTCTGAACAGTGTCAAGAGAAAGCTAGTTTCACAGCTGGAATTAGATGGACTACACAAAACATCATACATTAGTCACGAGGAGGAAGAAATTCCCATATCCACACCTATACTTACAGGGAGTTGCCAACCCGAATCTCTGCTCCAAGATGGCACAACAGCAGATAAGAGAAAGATGACCATTGAAAAGTTAGCAGTTCTTGACTACTGTACAAGATTACCAAAGATCATTGGAAAACTGCCTCGAGACAGTATGCAAGCAGCAGTTAATGAGGCACAGAGACCAACAAACTCATATGCCACAATATTTGTGGAACTCCAAATAAATGGCTGATCAGACTGAGAGGAAAGCTGGAAGCCGAGATAAAGGCAGCATATAAGGAATTTAGTAAGCTGGATCAACGTCACACAGGTGTAAAGATCAAGGATAGATAATGGTTACTGAGGAAATAAGGCTGACAGCACTGGCAACCGGACTGAGCAGATGGCAGATACCACAAAGGGTAGTTGAGAATGGCAGGGCTAAGGTCATGTGGGACTTTCTGATCCAGACTGACAAGCATGTAGTGGCCAACCAACGTGACATTGTGGCTGAATTCAGTGGTGGTGGTGGATGTAGTAATACTCACTGACCATAACATCAAGAAGAAGAAACGTGGGAAGATGGACAAATAGAAAGTACTGGAAGAGGACCTAGAAAGGATGTGGAAAGTGATGGCAGTAGTAATCCCAGTTGTGATAGGCGCACAGGAGGCTATGAACCCCAAGTTGGAGAAGTGGTTTAAGCAGATTCTAGGTGGGACATCTGAGATCGCTGTACAGAAGGGTTGCAGTTCTAGAAACAGCTAATAAGACACAGGACCCACACACTGCCACGCCTCTGGTAGTGGACCCGAGAAAGAGGAATACACAAAAATACAACTAGAAAGGGTGAGAAAGTCCATTTTATAAATAGATAGATAGCTAGACAGACAGACAGACAGATAGATAGACAGACAGACAGACAGACAGACAGATAGATAGATAGATAGATAGATAGATAGATAGATAGATAGATAGATAGATAGACAGATCACAATAGTTTTTTAAATCTAAAAAAAAAACTTAAATACTATTCCCTGATTATTTATATTTGTAAGACAATGAGATTTACAATGGCTGTCTTTCTTTTGGCCACTGATCTGTTTCCCAAAATTAGATGAGCATGAATTCCATGATTAGATTTTAAGTCCTTGAGTCATTGTGAAAACAGAATGCTGAAAAAAAAAAACGTTAAAGAAAATAAACTGCAGGAATCAACGCAGAGAGAAAAATGACAAATGTATAACCCAGCAGGCACAGAGAGATATCCTATTTAGTTATTCAAGGTATTGAGAAGGACGTGGAGCATGAGAAAGTCTAGGCAAATGGGAAATTTTTAAAGCAAAAAAATATGATCCAGTGAAGATTTGGCAATGAAAAAGAAAATACGATAATAGTTAATGCAGCCTGCAGAACAAGTGAAAAAACAGGAATATCATAGTTTATTTTATACTTCTCAACATAACATGGCAATGAGCATTCAGCGTTAACCTTTTGTTACCTGCTGCTTGGTTTTAGGACTGCATTGTGCATGGACCCATGTTTACTTTCTGCCTCCATGCGGTACTTTAATTCCACAAGAATGTTAGTGTTTGAATTACTGTCAACCAATACATGCGTTTGATGCAACAAATTGAAACCAAATATTCACAAATTCACTGACTGCTTATACTGAAGCACACTTTCAGCACACCAAGTACAACATGCATAATCCTGCATTAAGAAATCTTACTTTTTGAATATTAAACAAGACTTGGGAAGCCTTCAGGCTTTACTTGAAGGCTACATATTTAAAAGCTTTATAACAGGCCTTTGTGTCTTTCTTTTTCTTCTCCACCCACTGTATGTTAGGTCACATCTCTCTTTGTGATTAACTCAACTCCTGTTTCTGCCATGTCCACTTTCAGTGATGTAGGTCCAATCACATGCCAGAGCTGCAGGTCATTGTGTGGAAATGTACAGCATTCTCAAATATTGCAGATGGTTTCTTCAGCCACCATTCAGCTTCCATGTCTTTCCAATGACTGACTTGTAGGAACTTATTTCAAAATCAAACACAGGCTTCTATTATTTCTTTAAAGTTATTAAAGTGAGAAATTGCTACACTGTTAGCATTATATTTGTGTCTTTTGCTAACACCCCAACTCGATTCGCACTAAGCACTCATTTGGCCTAAAGAGAAACTCTAACAGTGGAAATTAAAACAAGGATTCCAAACGTTAGCGTTTATTCCAAGCATTTTACAATTAAGGTCCCCATATAACACAACTTAAAGAATATTTACTTGCATTTTATCCCACACCACATCGGTCGAACTGTGGCTGCAGCTCCATCCATAGAGAAACGCTGGGAGGTTCTACTGTACATTTAGGGAATTTCTACACCAATAAGCATATCCTCATAGATGTACATTATACTAAGACATATCTTGGAGGGGTTTCTAGTGTCATCTTGCTGCACGACAAATACAGAAAGAGCCTCTAGTGGCTGTCTTAGTGACTAACTGACTGACTGACTGACTGACTGATTCATTGTCCGAGTGACAGTCACTAGAGGTGACCTTGGGGACAAATACTGCCTTTTTACAGACAATGCAGTGTTTACAGTGCTGTGGATGCAAGTACAGGCTCTATATGCTGCAATGATTCTGTGACTTATAGTGTCCCTTTAATTCCAGGATTTAGGAAGAGGTCACTTCACTATTGGTTATGACGGTTGGTGTCATGTGAGCACTAACATAATGCACGTTCAGTTTCATTTGCAGACTCTGTCACAATGGTTCCAAAGTTTGGCCTGATGTATATGTCACATTAGCTATGAGACTTGCTTAGCAGACTTGGAGCATGAGAAATAGGACTCTAGTCATTATTCTATAACTGATTTGGTTATAGAGCATGGGTCCTCAAACTCCGGCCCCCTAGATGTTGCTGAACTACAACTCCCATGATTCTTTGAATTACATTGATAGCCAGACAATCATGGGAGTTGCAGTTCAGCAACATCTGGGGGTCCTGAGTTTGAGGACCCATGTTATAGAGTATTTCATACTCTGATTTAATATAAAATGATTTAAAAAAAACAAAAAAACATTTAGTGGGATTTTCAATAAACAGTCAGACAATACGTTGCACCATTACTGAAACATGGACTTATGAATACGTGTGTAGAATCCATGGATGCTAAGACAAGATTGTTCTTTTTTAAGATAATGTGAATTGTGTCTCCTGATGTATTGATCCAAGAGCAATGGGTCAAGCTGTAGGAGCAGAGTTATGAAGCAATTGGTTTCAATGTTGGTTGTATGAGGAGTAGTTTAAATCCCACTTTTCTTTAAACCCCTTATGACTGGAATCTCAATTTGAAAAGCTCTCATGTTACATTATAAATGTTGGTCTTATACATTGTTTATTTGATTCACATTGCTTCTATTAATTTCACTAGATAATGCTAATAATACTGCTTATTGCTTTCATGGTTCTGCTGTTTGTCTTATAAGAAAGTTAAATGCCCACCACAAGCTATTAACATTTTATTGTTAGTTATTGTCAGTGTTTTATTAGACTTTTGAAACCCTGTATCCTTTAAATCTAAAAATAAAAGACAGTCAGAGTAGAGTTTTATGAGAATGTTAGGGAACAGATCAATTAATCCTGTTAGCTTGCATTCTAATATTCTTAGCTTTACGTCCTTGTCCCAGAATCTAGTACTTGCTTTTAATGGAACATTAAGAGGTGTCCCTTTATTATGTTGTTATTATTATTATTATTATTATGCTATTATTTATACCTCTACCTGTATTTTGCAATGTCCACATTTAAGAAGGGACACTGCATGCCACAGAGATTCAGACTGGACTTGGAAGAGAATAGTGAATTTGCTTTTTCAACTCTGAACAGCTCAATAAAGTATATAGTCAATACATTTCAATTTATGTAATGTCAGTGTTTAACCAATATGCGCAATTGGACCTCAAACACTGAATAATTTACTGAATACATTTTAATATCCTGTCAAACTTGCACAATATCTTGGTTTGCTTACTGTAATATTAATTATTGAATGAAAAGTATATTTTGCATCTTGAATTAATATCTTGGTTACAGTATCTGACTGATTTTCAAAATACACTAATTTCACGGGTTTAGGTTAAAACTTCCTTCCTCACCTAACAGACTGACAGTAGTTTTTGACAGTTTTTCATCACTTATCTCTTTCATAAACATGAATCACAAACTGACAGCTTATCCATCTATTTTTGCCTATGTATAATAATTTAACAGTTTGTCTTCATTTTCTGTCCTTCTTCGCCAAAAGTCTCCAACTGGCCACTTTTTGGAATCTCTTCTATTCCCTCTCATTCCAGCTAATCATTATTACCTATCGGGTCATGTGACACCATGTGCAAAAGGTATCTACCAGAATCTTAATTCACAAACATTGGATGAATCCTGGAATCACAGTGTGGAATTTGCTCAAACTGTAGCTTGCTGAATACCCCATAAGATACTAGATTGTTTAAAAAAAGCTGGTCTTCGTATTTTCTGTTCCATGATGGGTGATACCCAGGGATGGCACTACCTGTTAGGCGGACTAGGCAGCCGCCAGGAGCGCCGGCCCCCCATGCTGCAGCCGCCCAAGCGCTCTGTAGAGAGCCTCAGGCGGCTGCAGCTTTGCCCGGGAGATGCGTCCATGAGGGTGGACCGCACCGCCCTGGCGCAGCCTGAGGAGAGGGGCTGACAGGAGGGAAGTGCTCAGCGCTCCCTCCTGTCACTCCCTCTCTGTAGCGTGGCCGAGCCCTGCAGCATGATGGTCCGCGGGTACAGGGAGCATCTGTCTCCTGTACCCGGCCGGACTAACAGGAAGTGCACACACAGCAAACAAAAGCTACCTGTACCCGCGGACTATACTGGGCTCGGCCACGCTACAACTGAGGTAGGGAGGGGGGGGGGAGGGGGGGTGGACGAAGAAGAAATTGGGAGGGGAGAGGGGAACAAGGAGTCAGGAGGGAAAGAAGAATTGGGAGGGGAGGGCAAGGAATTGTCAGGGGGGGAGAAAGAAATTGGGAGGGAGGGGACAAAGAAATTCAGGGAGGGGGGAGGGGAGGGAGGAAGAGAAATTGACGAGGAACAAGGAATTCAAGGGGAGGGAAAGAAATTGGGAGGAAAGAAGAAAGTGTCAGGGGGGGGCAAGAAGAAAAAATTGGGAGGGAGGGGAAGAAGAAATTGTCAGGGGGGGAGGAAGAAATTGTGAGGGAGGGGGAAGAGGGATTGGCAGGGGAGGGAGAAGAAATGGTAGGAGGGGAAAGAAATGGGAGGGTGGGAGAAAAAGAAATTGGTAGGGGAGGGGGGAGAAGAAATGGGGAGGGTGGGAGAAAAAGAAATTGGTAGGGGAGGGGGGAGAAGAAATGGGGAGGGGGGAGAAGAAGAAATTGGTAGGGGAGGGGGGAGAAGAACATGAAGGTGGACCCTGGGACCAAGACCTTGAGCTGTGTAAAGGGCCCCCAAAAAATGAAGCTGCTTACCGTTCTCCCAGAACATTGATTTTTGTGACCACAGTTTCAAACAGCCTCCAGAGAGCCTGTTCTACACCGGACCAGTGGAGCCAGACTGCATCTAGAGCCCATCATCATCCTCATCTCGTTGTAAGTAGGCAATCTAGTATATTATTCGTGGCACTAATCTCTAATTTACCTCACATTAAAGAAACAATATAGTCCCCAGAACCACTGCAGCTTAATGTAGTTGTTCTGGTGTCTATAGCCTGTCCCTGCATGCCTTATAATGTAAACACGGCGGCACTGCAGCACTGGCGTTAGTTAACATGGCAGATCATATGGGTGGAGCATTGTGATGTCACATGGGGGGGCGGCAAACTTTACTTTTGCCTAGGGCGGCAAAAATCCTTGCACCGGCCCTGGTGATACCCATTACTGTCACTTCATAAATAATGGGGAGCCTTACAGTAGTGATTCTTCTCATTTTTGGCTTATTCTTCGTCTAGCTGCGCTATTGTTTTGTGTAGTATTCATATTTGTAGCTATCTGTATAAGTACCTTTATTTGCCTAACATTCTTAAACACTTGTATCTCCCTTGAACCTAAGACCTGTGTTTTGACTGTGTTTTAACTGTGGGTTGACACTTAGTCTTAGTACTTTATGAAAGCCTTCAGTTAGCCCTCCACCATTGGCGCCACTGACTTGGATTCCTTAGTATATACACTACAAGAAGGCTCCTATGATGTGCTCTGGGCCAGTTTCAGGTGCAAATAATTCATTTCATTCTGTTTCCTTTCTGGATCTGAAACTGAATGACCACCTTAACATTCCACATGAAAAAGTTACAGTTTATTAAATTCCTGGAGGAGATGAAGTTTTCATATTCGGATATGACCTCTACTATCTAAACAAATGCGACACCTAGGAATAATATGACCTAAAGATTTCCCTAAAATCACTTGCTCACTAGCCACTCTCGTCTTGTTTCTGAAAAGCTAGATATTTCAAATCCCTAGAAGAAGGAGCTGAAGGTTTAGGATACAAAGTGCCATTGTTGCAAGTTTTGTAGGGATTCTATTTAAATGTCTGAGAACACAAGATGAAGATACACAGCATGACTGAAGATATTAATATCCTATTTAACACATCAGTTCAAATAATGTTCCCTTTTCTTACTATCAACATAACGTTTACACTGCAATGCATCCTTACTGACCTGCAGATGGCTCTTTCACACAACATAAAAAAACAATCTCACAAATAAAAGGCGTTACATTAATTTATGCTATGTAATATGAAAACACAAACACTCATAGACTTCTTACACTATACATTTTTATGTTTAATAGCATTTAATTGTAATGAAGAGGAAAAAAGGAAAATATATGAAAAGGATCTAAAGATGCAATTGTACGACAAGCTATTGGAGAAAAATATGTAAATGAATATATTTAGGAAGAAAAAAAGTAAAAAATAAAATCCAGTAGACAATAATCAAAAAATTTAAACATCAATGGTAAATAGCTGGAATGGAAGGTAACAAGGGATAACAGGTACAAAAACTAGGTTTATATGCAAAAGCATTTTGTGAAATTGAAATAGAACCAAGGTAAAGATTACAGAGAGGAAGGGAAAATGCAACTATTAGAGAAGTGAGAGCGGCAAGTAAAGTGCAAGGAGAAAAAGAATGGGAACAAAGAAAATGAAGAAAAAAGTTAATGGGTGTGGAAAAAGAGGGAACACAACTAGGGAGGTAGGAGGGTTAGAGATATACAAACAGCCAGAGTTGTGTCAAGGTTTACTACCCTATAAAGCAAGCTAAGGAGCAATTTCACTATACACAAATATACACTTTTATTGAAATTTGCCAATATAAATGACAATATTACATAGAAATGAAAGATACAGAAACGATATAATCAGACATAGCAATTACAAACTAATGATACAGATTGACAGTTGAACAGTGTTTTATTCCTCAAAATCGCACCTTCGTGCAGTATTTAACCAATTCCACCCACAGCCTTTAAACACAGATGGGGCTCACAGCCAAGAGAATAGGGGTGGAGAATGAATGTGCACCAGGAATCCTGACTTAGATCATATGCCCACATAGGTATTGGAGACAGTCGACCCAGAAAAACTGATATAGACTACCCCTGAATGGAAGATTGACCTAATGAAAGCCTTAAACCTCATATTGTCAAATGTAGTTAATCCCAAGCCCAATAGACAGTATGTTCCTGCAGGTCCCCACCAGAATCGCTAACTACCATCCAAATGTCAAAGTAATGCCGTGTCCATCTGTCTGGCAAGCAATGCATCCAGCCCTGTCCTTTGTGGCTAAAACATGCCATTTCCATGCTGGCAACAAACCAGTATACCCTCTCATAATAACAAAGTACACTCAATTGGAGTAGGAAGGAGAAAAAGAGGGGGGGAAATGGTCACTGTCACAACTTCAACCCCCCGCAGCCCCCACACTGCACCACCAAACACCCCAAAAGAAGGGA